CACGTCACTGTTTGAGAAATGGCTAATCCAAATGTAGTATTTTATTGCCACGGATTTGCAGTACTTCATGGAAACATCTGTGCCGATCCTATCCTTGAGTTGGCAGTGTTTACCGTCCTTCTGCCAGCTTCTAAATCAGCCACTTTATTAGATCCCCACCCATCCATTTGATGTACTGTTCCATCTGCCTCCCAAAATGCACAACAGTCTCTTTTTCTTGTGGCCCTTCCCCGACTTTGCACAAAGACTCATTCAAGGCTGAACTGAAGAGTAACTGAAACTAACGGGTCACACCAGAGCAGCTAGCAGCCTCAGGGCCCTTCTCTGTTTACAGAGATGACATGTTTTGTCGATCAGCCAGAGCCATATGACAACCCCCACTCCCACTACCACCCCACCCCACTTTTGTGGATTCAAAAGCCAAATCCACAGAGGGACATGTTGTTAAGACTCAACCACTGGGGAGGGTAGAAGTGAATAAAGACATCTGTCTTGCAATCTGTAAACTCCACAAGCATTTCAGAGCTCTTAAAAAAGCTGGAAACAAGATGGCGTTTGACGAGCAAGGCTCGAGGAAGACAATAAGACCCACTGTTCGAAACTCAAGGGAGGGAGGAAAACCTGAAAAGAAAGAAAAAGATTTATTTAACTGTCTGATTCAAACAAATAGACAGCTGTACTCACATCCTCACCTCTGCACTCAGTCCTTTTGAGTCGCCTTAAAAAGCATGTTTTCCCTGTCGGCGCCCCCCTGATAACTAATGTGATGTGATGTCACCTGTGTGAAACTGTGTGTTGTGATGATGTTTTAAATCCAAGAAAGCAATAACAGCCCTTCTCTCTTATTTCCAGCTAAGGATTCCTGTAGAAAAAGTGCTCCCTTGTGGCCATCCTGCTGTGAATGAGTTTCCAACCCCATCATCCTTTACAGTACCCCTTCCTCACCCTCACATTACCCCATAATCCAACCCTCCACACGCCCCTCCCTGCTCTGTGGAAGAGGCTGGGCATTGCTATCAGTTTGACTTACTCTTTTGTTTGTTTCATGCTGAATGATGCTTGTCAGTTGTGTGGGTTGTACAAGCAATTATTCGGCTTCTCTTTTTGTGCAAATTTACAAAATGCATTCCATGTTTGTTTGTTTTTTTTAATATTTAGTGACTCTTTGCATGATGTGAGCTTTTAAAAAGATATTAACATACATGACTACTGTAGTGATGGGCAGAAATGTACTGAGGCTAAATGGAAACATGCATTAAAACAATGGGACTGAAGCATGAAGGATGAGAAATCTGGTTTGGATTTCAGACTTTACAAGAATAGACTGTTATTAATATGAAGGCAGATTGACTTTGAGATTGAAGAAAAGCAGTAGACTTATGTATTTTTTTAAAA